CATCCGGATCCCTACAGCTGTGACTGCCTCGTTGGCCGAGTGGTCGCAAGTGCGACTGCCGGGTAAGGGATCTCGGGTTCGATTCCTGGGTCGGGCAAAGTATTACTGGGTTTTTAAATATTTTCAGTAGTAGCACGGAGTCTGAAATTGCGCCCGGTATATGGCAATAGGCTCACCCCCTATTACATGGGACTCATAACATAAATAGTGAAAAGTAGGTGTTACTTGTGTGTGCACCTCTGCCTACCCCTTCGGGGATAAAAGGCGTGATGTTATGTTATGTAGTTAAGTAGTTAAGGATAATATTAAGGACCGATGTTGCCAACGCCAAATAAATTTTAACCGAGAAATGACATTGAATATCTAACAATTCCTCCATGTTAAAACTGTCAAATGTCAATTTTATTTTACAGTTAAGAATTGACTGATGATTGAAAAAGATCTAAGATTAGGTTTGCCCTTAATTACATTTTTTTATGACATAAGCCGGTAAACGAGCTGACGCATCACCTGGTAACCAATTGGCGTCGCCCATGGACACTCGAAACACCAGAGGTGTTACAAGTGCGTTACCGGCCTTTTGGGTATTAGAAGTTTGAGGATCGTTGGGGATTCAGGAATTGGGGAGATTGGGGAAGGGGAGGGTAATTGGGCCTCTGGTAACCTCAATCACATGACGAAATACAACGCAAGCGTTGTTTCACGTCAGTTTTCTGCTCGGCCGTGGTATCACTCCGGTCGAGCCGGCACATTCGTGCCGAAGATTGGCTCTCCCACACTTAAATCTACTATCCATATCTACCCATCTAAATATCACTATAATCGCATATCAAGTTACTATACACGTTAAAAACAAAATAGCACTTTCGTGGTAATTTTAACAACTGTAATCGTAGTTAAAATTAAACGTAGGTAAATTAGGTTACAACACAATATTTAAGTTGGAACACGAAAACTATTAACATTAATGCTATAAAATGTTACAATAACTAATTACAATTGCATAAGTTATAATTTTGTTGTTAAAGTTAGTTTCATACTGAAGCTTTGAGTAGTCGGCAGCATCAGGTATTTATTTATTTAACTCGTCGAGTACCGTCATTATAGACACAATTATAGAACAATAGGTTGCGGTCATCGGTGACCGCTTGGTGTTTGACAGTTTAATTAAGCTACAAAACCGATACTCGACGAGTTAACTAGCTTTTACCCGCAGCTTCGCTCGCGTCACAAAAGGATAAAAGCGCTATCTATACCAATACTTTTGTTTTCCCTCGGGCATATCAAATTATTCCGGGATAAAAAGTACCCTATTATTTAATCCAGACTTCTGACTTTACGTCTGCAAAAAATCAAAGCAATCAGTTCAGTAGTTACTGCGTGAAAGCGGAACAAACAAACAAACAAACTCACTTTCCGATTTATAATATTAATATAATATTAGTAAGGATAGTAAGGATTTTTTTATGGGATAAGTCGGTAAACGAGCAGACGGATCACCTGATAGTAAGCAATCGGCGTCGCCCATTGATACCCCCAACACCAGAGGCGTTACAAGTGCGTTACCGGCCTTTTGGGGATTAGGTTTTTGGTTGAGGATTGTTGGGATACAGGGATTGGTGACATTGGGAGGGCGGGGGTAATCGGGCCTTGGTAAACTCACTCATACGACGAAACACAACGCAACAAATAAACGCAAAAAACAGCTCTTCAATAAATAAATAAATCATTGGCCCATAAGTCTCTTTTCTTTGTGCCTTTAGGCTTAATTCATTCTGTCTTCTGCAGTAATTTTGTTCTTCTTCTCTTATAATATCTTCTAATTCACTTCGTTGCGGGAACCAAGACAGTTATTCATGTCCCTGGGACGCGCCGGACTCTAGTGTTCCGGTGTTTTCATGGTTGTATCTACTGTATATCCTGGCTTACAGGAGTTGCAGCGGTTTTGGGAGGTTGTGGCGGGCTTGTCCCTAAAAACGAAAATAGCCCATAAGAGCCTACTGCTGACCAAAAGCCTCTTATCCCCGAAGTGGTAGGCAGAGGTGCACGTTACGGCTCTTAATCCCACTGTACAATGTAACATCGACTTTTTACTATTTATGTTATGAGTTCCATGTAATAGGAGGTAAGCATATTGCCATATACCGGGAACAATTCCAGACTCCGTGCTACTGGGATTTTGTTTTAAAATACTCAGTAATACTTTTCCCAACGGCAATCAACCCTGAAACCCCTTGTCCGGCAGTCGCACTTGCGACCACTTAACCAGCGAGGCAGTCTATACACGTAGATATTATTAAGCACATCTGCAAAACACGCCCCATAACATTTTTTTAGATATCGTTTCAATAAATATATTTACAATATTTCAATATTTATGTTTGAGTTTTAATCACCCACTACGACTTATTTCGTTATTATATGTACAATATTCGTTACTTGGGTCATAAAGCATCTTATTTTACAAGTAAATAACCAATCATAGTAATAATAACACTCACAGATTTTATGATATCTAAGCCGATAATCCAAAATCGGGAATTTTTTAATAGAAATCAATTAAATTCAATTATCTCAAAAGAGGTTAGATTTAAGGCAGGATGTTTCATAATTAAAATTGTCAGAAACAATGTAAACTACACGCTCTTAACGGGAATAGGTCGACTTAACCTGTAACCCTATATAAGACCATAAGACAAGACTATAATACTGAAAAGAAACAATTAATAAAACCAAACTAAGAAATAAATGAACCCAACTCTCAAATTAAACCTAAAAACCCATCTTTACATTACAACGACCTCTCACACAGAAACAAGGACATTAGCACAAAAAGCAACTAAAATTATAATTATAATGCACTTCTGCTCAGGCCATAATCATTTATTGTATCATCACGCCCAAATCTGTGTCAGTCGTAGGTCAGAACCTTGTAATAATGTTGTAATCACATTGTTTAATTGAACCAGATAGCCATCTCCCTTGTATTGTTTCAAAAGCCTGTTTTTAACTAACAGTTTAGTATGTGGAACTACTAGCGTCCGCCACTGGCTTTGCCCACGTTCCCGTGGGATAAAAAATAGCCTATGTGCTATTCCAGACAATAATGTACCCCTGTTCCAAATTTTATTACGATCCCTTCAGCCGTTTTGACGAGATTGAGTGATAAACATACACTTACAAATTTTCGCATTTAATATATTAGACTTTTGACTTTGACTTTGACTTCGGAGTCGCGGAGAACCTTACGTGTTACCGGGGCTCCGGCTCGACGTGCAGGAGAAGGAACGGGGTGGTTTTTAGTCAGTAAGATTCTGACACTCCCTCTCGCCTCACCCTGGCGGGAGCAGTCATTCGATAATTTACCCCCTTAAAAAAAATGCATGGGACTCATAACGTGATCATTTATTTAATGACTCAAAACGGGACATTCGTTTAATTACATTCAGTCAGGCATCTAGTAGCTAGATCTTATTATAGAACCTGTACCTAAAAACAAACATTGTGCTGACAACAAAGAGGTTCACAATAATAACTGCACAAAAATGTAGGTACTTATAGTTTCTTCGACTGTACTTCGTCAAAAATTTCCGAGTTATGTATGACGCTGTATCACTCTTGCTATTGAGCCGTCCGAACGATTGTCGCATAAGTTCGACTGTTTACAAAAAAATTCGCGTTGTTTCCGAGAACGGGACAATTTTGCGTCTCAGAGTTCATTTCGGAGACAACGGGACTCGTCATTATAAAAAGGGACAGTCAATTTTTTTTTACGGCATACACTGGCAAACGAACAGACGAATCACTTGATGGTAAGCACTCGGCGTCGCCCAGGGACACGTGGAACACCAGAGGCGTCACAGTACGTTACCGGTTTTTTTGGGGATTAGGAGTTTGAGGATCGTTGACCGTTACTGATTCAGGGATTGGGGAAGGGGAGGCGGGTAATTGGGCCTCCGGTAACCTCACACTACGAAATGCAAGTGTTGCTTTACGTCGGTTTTCTGTGAGGCTGAAATGGGACGTCTGACGTAGGTCTCGGTAATCAAAATATAACTGGTCAAAAGTGGATGTTATATCGTACCTATATATACTTGCACTTCTGCTTAAACCCTCAGATTTCAAAGGCGTAATATTATTTTACAAGCAGTATATTTCATTCAAGTATATTAATGTCTGTGAAATTGAAATAAAAACCGTCACAATGTCGTTACATTACAGTCGAACTATTCGTTGGTAAAAAAATGACAAATATTTGATTACAATTGTAATTGCACTTACACACAACTGGCGATAATTATGCAAAATTAAATTATCGACATACGTATGTGAAACTTATCTAGTCGATTGCCTTTGTATATATATATATGTTTCATCATAATTCATAATTGGACTATGAGCATCTTCTACATAAGAGGGTTTGTCATAATCTCCGCAACAGGCGGGTTGGAGATCGCAGTGTAAAAGGTTCAGGTTTATCAGAGAGCACTGCTGCCCGGTTTCTGTCAAATGTGTAGTCCCTTAGCCGGGTATAGGACACCCGCGGGAAGAGTAGGGGTGGTGACTGGTGAGCATGGAGATAATACGTACTCTCTGATGTAGAGGAGGTTCATAGTCCAGCAGTGGATTGTCAGTGAGAGTGTAGCGAAATTGCACAATTTGATTACCCCTAGTCCTTTCCATCATCGTAACACAAGGCAATCGGCGAAGCGTCACCGATTCATGGTAGATGTCCCAACCACACGCACGAAGCGCTTCGCATCAAGCTTCCTTGTGCGTACTGCTAAGGAGTGGAATTCATTGCTAGAGTCTATATTTCCTGAAGGGTATAACCTGGGTGTCTTCAAGGCCCGAGTGAATAGGTTTCATAAGGAACGACGTGCTCCATCGTAGGCTGCATCATCGCTTACTAGGCGAGATAGTGGCCAAAGGTCGGCCTACCAAATATAAATAATCTATCTCTTATATTTTTGCTAACAATACTTTTCATTTTGTCCCAGGTTCGACATTAACCCATAGAATTAGGGTTCCACATCAATAATGACACCACAACGGCGACTGTGTGGTCTCAGGCTGGGTTCCGTGGGTCTACTCACTGTGTTCTTCTATTTAATAGACCGATCTATAGCGGTGAGTAACAGTTTTATCTTAAAAGCATTTATTTCAATTAATCCTTAATTTAGTGATCGAGTGAAAAATAATGCTATTAGAGAAAGGCGTGGATTGAAAGATGATGTAGTGACAAGGATTGAAAAGGGAATGTTACGCTGATTTGGACATGTAGAAAGAATGGATGAATGAAAGTGGAGGAACGAAAGAAGTATACAGAGCGGATATGAATGGGGCCGTCGGTAGAGGGCGCCCTAGACGCACATACATGCCCTGGAGCTGCATCTTGGAGGCACTCCGATATCATGGGGTGCCTACCTACCTCCGTCGTGTGATCGAGGCTTACCTGACGGACAGGTCCGTCAGTTACCCCGGTCACCGGGGCGAGTGGAACCGGCGAGAAATGTCACGCGGTGTTCCACAGGGTTCGGTTCTGGGGCCGCTCCTGTGGAACATCGGCTATGACTGGGTGCTGCGCACCGACCTCCCGAACGGCGTTAGCACAATATGCTACGCCGACGACACGCTGGTGCTAGCGCACGGGAGGTCGCACCAGGCGGCGGCCGATTTAATGGCGACAGCGGTTGCGACAGTCGTTGAAAAAATCCGGCAGTTGGGACTTGAGGTGGCGCTCCACAAGTCCGAGGCCATGTGTTTTCATGGCCGCGGGAACGCGCCACCTCCGGGTGGGTCCCAAATAATGGCGGGAGGGGTTACCATCGGCGTCGAGACGACGATGAAGTACCTGGGACTCGTCCTCGACAGTCGGTGGAACTTCGTGGAGCACTTCCGACGTTTGGCTCCAAAGTTGGCGAGGGCGGGGGCTGCGTTTAAACGCATCCTCCCCAACCTCGGGGGGCCAAACGCCTCCTGCCGGAGGTTATACGCCGGGGTCGTGCGGTCCATGGCCCTCTACGGCGCCCCTGTTTGGGCGCCTAACCTGTTGCGGCGTCCCGCTCGGACGCTGCTCATGGCACAGAGGGTCATGGCGATCCGAATGATCCGCGGATACCGCACGATCTCTGGGGAGTCGGCGAACCTCCTTGCCGGATTACCGCCGTGGGATCTGGAGGCGAAGGTGCTCGCGCGCGTGCACAGCATGCGCGCGGAGGCACGTCGCCGGGGCGAAACTCCGCTGCCGCGCCAGATAAGTGCGTGGCGGGATGAGCTCCGGCGCGATCTCATGGCGGAATGGCAGCAACGACTGTCGCAACCGAGGGCTGGGCTCGCTGCCATCGCAGCGGTAAGTCCCCTCTTTGAGGAGTGGCTTGAGAGACGCTACGGCGTCCTCACCTACCGCCTGACGCAGGTCCTCACCGGACATGGAAGTTTCGGGAGGTACCTGTGTCTGATGGGGCGGGAGGAAACGCCCGGGTGTCATCACTGCGAGGACCGCCCTGAGGACACGGTGGAACACACGGTGGGAGAATGCCCTTCGTGGGCTGAGCACCGCCGTGTCCTCAGGGAAGTGATCGGCGATGGCGACCTCTCGCGTCCGGGCCTAGTGCAGGCCATGATGCGGAGCGAGGGGGATTGGGATGCCGTCTCCTCCTTTTGCGAAGCAGTCATGCTAGCTAAGGAGGAGGCGGGACGCGTGAGGCAGCGAAGCGCTGCCTCCTCGCAACCCAGCCATCGCGAAGGACACACCGGGCGTCGGGGATCGCGGGACGATCTCCGGCCACCGTAAGCGCGGGCCTGCGGACGGCGAGCATGGGTGGCTCCCCGTCCGACCAGAAACAGACCCGAGCGTACGGCGCGTCGCGTTCCGCGCGCGCCTCAAAGAGCCATCAGACCACCACAGATGGGGCCCAATAGGGCCGATGCCGATTCGGAGTCGCGGAGAACCTAACGGGTAACCGGGGCTCCGGCTCGACGTGCAGGAGAAGGAACGGGGTGGTTTTTAGTCAGTAAGAGTCTGACACTCCCTCCCGCCTCACCCAGGCGGGGGCAGTCATTCGATGATTTTCCCCCCTTAAAAAAAAAAAAAAAAAGACGCACATACATACTACTCTGTCAAGAAAGTACAGGGAAAAGATCACTAATACACAAAATGTCTGTTATTCATCCAAATTTTTATTATCACCTTCGAAGTATGCTCCTTTAGAAACGATACACTTGCGCCAACGAATAATCCATACATCAAAACATTTTTTAAACGCTGCTTCCGGAATGGAGTTCAGTTCTCGCCGCGAATTCTCCTTTATCATCCGCATAGGACATTACAATGCCGTTTTTAATTGATAATTCACATAAGTCATTTATATAAATTAGGAATAGTGTAGGTCCCAATATACTTCCTTGTGGTATTCCGTAAGAACAATTTTTAACTTCTTTACTTATGTATTGGTCAATCTTTACAGACTGGTAACAGTCGGATGAAATGGCAATAGGCTCATCCCTTATTACAGAAAAGTGGGTGTTGCATGCCTTTTATCCCTGAAGGGGTAGGCCGGTGCACACTACGGCACCTAATACCACTGTACAATGTAGCCCTACTCACGCCCTAGCTGGCGGCGGTGACCGCGAGATGATTTTCGGCCACCGTAAGCACGGGCCTGCGGACGGCGAGTATGGGTGACTCGCCGCCCGATCAGAACCAGACCGAGCGTACGGCGCGTCGTATACCACGCGTCTCAAGGCGCCATCGGACACAGAGCCGCAGAGGACTTAACGGATATTGCCGGGGCTCCGGTTCGTAGTGCAGGAGTAGGAACGGGGTGGTTTTTAGTCAGTAAGAGTCTGACATTCCCTCTAGCCTCAGCCGGGCTGTAGAAGTCATTGGATCAAGTGACTTGTTTAGCCTTGGGGATAATACGACTTTATTCAGACTCTATGCTATTTGGCCGAGACATTCCTGAAAAACTAAAAAAAACATCTTAACTTTGCCTGACCCAAAAATCGAAAAAGAAACCCCTTGTCACAAATCACTCGCTCAATAAGGCATTCAAATTTGTTCACAATAGCAATATAAAATAAGTCAGACATTAAACTACATAGAATCGAACCCGCTAGAGTTTGGCATAATGAATGCGCGCGGCGTCGCTTCATTTAACAACGCAAGGAAATGAAAGTTTCAAGCTAACATTACAATAATTAGGTAGCATATAGGTAGACACGACAGTAAATTACATACATGTAAAGAAGTATGTGTTACTGTGTTTAAATAGTAGGTAAACCAGCTTGTTGGTCGAGTGGTAACACATGGTAGCAGGTTCGACAAGTCTAGCTACACCAATACCCTTGTATTTTTAACTAGCTTTAACTAACTAACTAGATAAAAAGTAGCCTATGTGACATATACCAATACACACAGTGCCATCTATGCCAATACTTTTGTTTTCCCTCGGGAATATCAAAATTTTCCGGGATAAAAAGTACTCTATTATTTAATCCAGACTTCTAAATTTACGTTTGCAAAAATTCAAAGCAATCGGTTTAGTAGTTATGGCGTGAAAACGGAACAAACAAACAAACTCACTTTCCAATTTATAATATTATAAATATAAATAAATAATATTTATTAAATATATATATAATATATAATATGTATATATATATATTATATATAAGTAAGGATAAGGATAGTAAGGATGGGACAAGCCCGCCACAATCTCCCAAATCCGCTGCAACTCATGTAAGCCAGGATCTACAGTAGATATAACCATGAAAACACCGGAACACTGAAGTCCAACGTCTCAGGGACATGAACAACTGTCTTGGTTCCCGCAACGAAATAATAGGGTAGATGCCTAATTTTTATTTTAATATCCGTCTTGTAGATTATTTTAAAACATTAGACACGTATTTTTTATTTTCTTACACAAACGAATACTTCCGACGATATATTGATTTGTAATGTCGCGTGACGTCACTTCTATGTACATTTTATACGTAGAAATGACGTTTTAGCTCCCACTCCTAAACCTTGATTCGTTTTATCTAAGTATCGTTTTATTTGACGACTAAATAAAAAATACGTGTCTAATATTTTTTCATTGCCTAACTTACGGACTAATTAGATTTTTAATTTTTATACCTTGTCATCATCCCTATTCAGATGATATTATAAGAGAAAAAGAAAAGGACAAATGTCCACTACCATCGATACTGTTTAAGATTATTATTATTACTAGCTGTTGCCCGTGACTTCGTCCGCGTAGATTCTACGCCGAAGAATATGAATTTTAGAACATAACTCTCTTTTGTTTTAATTTTCCAAACTAAAAGTAGCCTATATTACTCTTTAGTACATCAGCTACCTGCCAATAAAAGTCTTGCAAAATCGGTCCAGCCATTCCAGAGATTAGCCAGTACAAATAGACAGACAAAAATAAAAAAAAAAATATTTTGGTATATGTATCGTAGGTATATATGCATGTAGTATAAAACTGTTATTTTAATATTACAAACAGACACTCCCAGTTTATTTATCTGTATAGATTTTAATCGACTGGTGGTGCGGTGGCTGGGCAACCGGCTGCCGTGCAACGTGTCGCGGGTTCGATTTCCGCACGGAACAACACTTTGTGTGATCCACAAATTGTTGTTTCGGGTCTGGGTGTCATGTGTATGTGAACTTGTATGTTTGTAAACGCACACACGACACAGGAGATAATCCCAGTGTGGGGCAACGTTTTTTTTAAGATTAGAAAGATTTGAAATAAAAATAATGAAAAGTCGTAACCAGATAATATAATTATGTTTCATTATGTTCCAGGCTCTAGACGGCTACATACCCGGGGAAGACTATCCGGTCTACACAGAGGTCCCCAAGGGTTTATCATTCACATGTGATGATAAGATACCAGGGTACTATGCAGACCCGGAGACTATGTGCCAAGTAAGTTTATTATACTACTAGCTGCTACTGCGCGCTTTCACACGCTCTGCTCAGCTCCTATTAGTCGTAGCGTGATGTTATTATAGCCTATAGCCATCCTCGATAAATGCGCTATCCAACACAAAAAGAATTATTCAAATCAGACTTGTAGTTACGGAGATTAGCGCGTTCAAACACACAAACAAACAAAAAACAAACTCTTCCGCTTTATATAGATAATAAATATAGTAAATTATAGTACATAAGATAATAGTATAAGATAGTGTTTATGTTGTGCAGTGTGAATTAGTTAAACATGGTGAACATAGCAGCAAGTAGGAATTTATAAGTGCCTAATGTAAATTCAATAATTTGTTAAGTAATATAAGTACCCTAAGTACCCTTAACGCTTAACCGACGAGCATGCATGAAAAGATTGATGTCTGTTGATGAAGCGAAAGAGGTATGTAGGAATTGTAGCAATTGGCGTTCTACAATCTCTACCTACCCCTATGGGAGACAGGTGTACCATGACTTCACAGTCATGTATATACATATGTATGTGTGTATATAATAATATAAAGTTTTCAGTAGGGAATCACATTCTAGCCTCTAGTCTATTCTAGTCTAGCCATCGCGCCAACCGTACAGTCAAAATGTTTATTTCATTATATCTTTTATATTAGAATCATTATACAAATAAATAACAACACCTATATTATTTAGCGCCTAACAAAATTATTATAGCAACACATACCGCTATGACATTATCACTCAAAGACATTAGCGCCTATATAAAATCTCATAGCGAGTCATTTTTACAGGTATGGCACTGGTGCGTCCCGAGTATCGGCGGGAACCTAATGTACTCCTTCGTCTGCGGAGCTGGCACAGTCTTCAACCAGAAAACCAGGGTCTGCGACTGGTTTTTCAAGGTGACGTTCAATATATTTTGTAAAAAACGTTGTTTCACATTAGTATTTTAGCAATCATGCTTGCATATTCATAAACATTAGTTTTTTAATAGACTGCCTCGTTGGCCGAGTGGTTGCAAGTGCGACTGCCGGGCAAGGGGTCTCAGTAGTAGCACGGTGTCTGGAATTGTGCCCGGTATATGGCAATAGGCTCACCCCCTATTACATGGGACTCATAACATAAATAGTGAAAAGACAGTAGTAATACAGTGGCATAATACGCACCTGATTGGGGTGGACTTAATTTGGTCCAATTTAACTCCACTAAGACACAAGTCTGCGTGTTTACCGCTAAGAAACTGCCGTTGGTCGTCTCTCCTCAGTTTCAAAGCACCTCCCTAACTGCCTCAGCCGGTATTGGAATACTTGGTGTCAACATTTCGAGCGATCAACATTGGAGCGACGTCCAGTTTTGCGGTCATTTAGAGGATAAGGCCAAATTAGCCTCGAGGAAGCTTGGTGTGCTCAATAGATCGAGGCAGTATTTCACCTCGACCCACCGCCTGCTTCTATACAAGGCACAGGTGCGGCCCCACATGGAATACTGTTCTCATCTTTGGGCGGGGGCACCCGAGTACCAGCTTCTTCCTCTGGACCGCATTCAGCGGCGTGCCGTTCGGATTGTTGGATGTCCGGATGTTTCAAACCGGCTCGACACTTTGGCAATGCGTAGAGATGTAGCTTCATTGTGCATTTTCTACCGCTTATAGCACGGGGAGTGCTCTGAGGAATTGTTTGACCTGATACCTGCCGCATCTTTTCGCCATCGACCCTCACGACAGCATATGCATCCCCATCATATAGATGGTTGGCAGGCCACAACTGTGCGGTTCTCACGTAGCTTCCTGCCTCGCACAGCAAAACTGTGGAATGATCTGTCGTCGGCGGTATTTCCGAACCGATACGACCTTCAAACCTTGAAGAGAAGAGCGTACTCCTTTTTAAAGGGCCGGCAACGCACCTGTGACTCTTCTGGTGTTGCGGGTGTCCATGGGCGGCGCTGATCGCTTACCATCAGGTGATCCGTCTGCTCGTTTGCCTCCTATTCCATAAAAAAAAAACCTCTGCCTACCCCTTCGGGGATAAAAGGCGTGATGTTATGTTATTATGTTATGTTAGTTTTTTAATGGAATAAGACGAGCAGACAGATCACCTGATGGTAGGTAATCGGCGCTACCCATAGACATTGATACACCAGAAGAATTACTAGTGCGTTGCTTGCCTTTTGGAGATTTGGAGAGTCGTGGTTGAGGATTGGGGATAGGGCGATGAGGGTTGGGGGGTTCAGTTAACCTCACTCATATTTGATATGCAAAGCAAACGTCGGTTTTTGTGAGAACGTGGTATCACTCCGGTCAAATCAACCCAGCGCTGCATGGCTTTCCCACGTCTAAAAGATTCGTGATGTGTCATTCTGTATATATTCTTAAAGGTTCCTTCTTATTTTCAGGTGGATTGCCCCAACGCGCCAGCCTTCTACGGCATCAACGAAGATCTGTATAAGGACGAGGCTGGAAATTACATCAATGGCAAAAAGTAGATCCTAGCTATAGTGATGTACCTTCTATTTAGTCAACTATCGATTGCATTAGTCGATTGTATCGATATAAATAATTAGGATCGATTTTATTTGATAGTTACTTATTTAAAGACGTTTTAAATAGTTGTTGCCAAAATTAATAGCAGATCTTAATCAAACATTTTGAATCGAAGCGATGTTAAAAATCTACATCAATACAATCCATTTGATCTATTCACTAGAAAAATAATAATATCAGAACTTGAAACAAAACATAGGTATACAATTAAAACTTTCATGAGACATACTACATTAATTATTATGTTATCAAACAGTTAGGTGAGTGAGCCGGAAACATAATAATTAAACATATATAATTGGGTAGTTTCTAGGGAATCAAAATTAAAAATCTAATTAGTCCGTCAGTATTTTTTTATTTTCTCGTATTAAGTTGCAATACTTAGATAAAATGGCGCTAAGTTTAGAAGTGGGAGGTTGTTACGTCATACCGTGCTACAAAATGTGGCACGCTATGACGTCACACGATATTTCAAATTAATATATCGTCGAAAGTATTTAATTTTGAGAGAAAAGAAAAAAATACGTGTCTAAAGTTTTAAATTAATGTACCAGACGGACATTAAAATAAAATTTAGGAAACTACCCTATTCCAATTAATAATAATTATCGATAAGTCGACTATGCCTAATTTCAAAGAAATAATCGATAGCTAATGAATAGTGGGTACATCACTTATAGGGAAATATTTACAAAATTAAGTACAACTATTTTTATACCTACACTAAATAAGTTAAGTACAAAAATGATTAGAACAATTAATTTAACTTCGAAGTATTTTTTTACAGGTTTTATAGGAAATTTCTATCAAAATAATAATAAAAAAATATGAGTACGTTGATTGAAAATTAGGCTTTTGAGAAAAACAAAGTGTGAATGGACAATTCAGTCTTTTTTTATAATTTATACTTTAAAAAAACTTCTAACATAATTATGGATCATAATAATTATATGTGATACAACTAACAATGTTTTTTATACTTTAATGATAACAATTAATTAGTCACATAATAGTATTAAAATTAATAAAACAAATAGTTACCAATATACAACAAAAGTTACCATTAGAGAATAAAAAAAAACATAAAACTAAAATCTATGTCTATATTTATAAATTAAAATTAATTTCGACCGAATCATAAACTTCTAGGTAGCGTATCTGAATGACGCGTGGCTATTAATGATACCAGCGCGCATGGTTCCTTGAAAATCTTATTTCTTGGCTGTCAGCGCTGACAGTCAGCATGCGGTCAGCGTAACACTGAAACAAGCCTTAAAGATACTTTTAGCATTTTTTTCTTGATATTTTTTATAACTTCAACGATTATAAACAGGCAATTTTTTAGAAGATCGATCTGTAATGAACTATGTTATAAAATCTAAGAACCTGAATCACACACACTTCTAATAGGGATGATGACAGGGTATGAAAATTAAAAATCTAATTAGTCCGTCAGTTAGGTAAAGAAAAAACATTAGACTCGTATTTTTTTATTTTGTCGTATAATAAAATGATACTTAGATATAACGAATCAAAGTTTAAGAGTGGGGGCAAAACGTCATTTCTACGTATAAAATATACATAGAAGTGACGTCACGCGACATTTCAAATCAATATATCGTCGAAAGTATTAGTTTTTTTAAGAAATTAAAAAATACGTGTCTAATGATTTAAAAGAATCTACCAGACGGACATTAAAATAAAAATTAGTCATCTATCCTATTATTGTAGCATCATGAATCTTGGCAAATGTATGTAGATAAGATGACAATACAATATTATGGTGCCATTGAGCTGGTTTAATGATGATGGGTGATAGAACCTTTGACTACTAGTTAACATATCGAGTTGGACTCTTTAGATATGTCCATTTCTCCTGATGTCGGGGACAAATAATTTGATTAAAAACATATTATTAGTTTATTTTGTGTTTCTTAGCTTATATATTATGTATTTTACTTTTGATTTGTGATAGATATACCAATAAAATACTAAATCGAGTTTCTCTCTTTAGATAAAAATGTTGAAAGGAGTATTTTTGCATAACTTCGTCCATTTACGAGGTAACACCGGATGTATTAATTGTCGCTTTCTTTATCAAAATTATGTTATTTTTGGTAAAATTTTTGTCTTTTGATTTAAGTATATAAAGATCCGACTTGCCAAACTATTCCAAATTGTCATTAAAAAAAAAACATCACAAATAACTTGCCCAATCAAAGTACAGTGGGCAGCAGATTAAATTACTCTTGCGTGTCAAATTTCTTTATTAAATTTTCAACTCTATCAGTTTGCTATGAAGTCCAAATTACAATGATAAAAATTGACATAATGGTGTAGGTTAATGTGTTGGCTACAGGACTATCACTGAAAAGATTTTGAAATTATAATTGTCAAATTATTGTAGATAGTACTACCATCTATTTGAAAACTTGTTTTTTTAATAAAAATTAAAAGTTTTACAATTTACTGACGTAACTGTTCGACGAGGTAACTCGACTAACACGTTCATGACTATGAGCCCGTAGCGCGTCTTGAAATTAATCGAGATACCTCAACTAGTACGAGAGTAAGCTAAAAAATCCAGTATTTTTAACACAATTTAACAAATTCCAGGGGTAATTCATACGACAATACATACGACAGACGACGACTGACTGCGAGACGCAAACGACACGAGTACGTGACGAGACGGACACGACAATCTGACAATAATGACATACAAGTTAGAAAAGATAGGAGTCTGAAACAATCTAGCTAAGGCCTGATTTTTCCAACCGCAAGAGAAAATCTAAGGAATAATTTTAAATATTTGACAATCCACACTAAAAACTGTCAAATGTCAATTTTATTCTATAGTTAAGAATTATCTGTTGATTGACAAAACAGTGCCTTCAGCCAAACGCCATTTTAGCGCTTGTCTACAGAGAGAGTAGAAATCAAAATGTATGGAGATGACACTGACAAGTGTCAAAATTTACGTCAATTCCATATACCTAATTTGGTTTTGTATTCTACATGTAGACAAGCGCTAAATGGCATTTGGCTACAGCTTAGCTTAGATATAATTGTGCACACGTCGACTGATTGACTGACTGGTTTTTTATTATTTGATTTGAGTAATGATAAATTTTATCAACATTATTTTGTTAATCTGTCAATTCCCATGGTATCCCATGTCCATGAACCTTAACCTATGCGACTACTGCCGTGAAATTATCATTAACAAAATGTTAATTTTATAAGTGTAAGAATTTTAACATTTATCTTATTTACTGAATTATTGCATATTTCATATTCATACATAATAGGGTAGATGCTTAATTTTTATTTTAATGTCCGTCCGGTAGATTATTTTAAATCATTAGACACGTATTTTTTATTTTCTTACAGAAACGAATACTTTCGACGATATATTGATTCGAAATGTCGCGTGACGTCACTTCTATGTACACTTAATACGTAGAAAAGACGTTTTAGACCCCACTCCTAAACATTGATTCGTGTTATCTAAGTATTGTTTTATTATACGACAAAATAAAAAAAAAATACGTGTCTAATATTTTTCATTATCTAACTTACGGACTAATTACTTTTTTAATTTTCATGCCATGTCATCATCCCTATTATGGTGTTTAAATAATGTGAATTGACAAATGCGATAAATATCAAAAATGTATATATTACATGAGTAAAGGTTCATTTTGTTGCTAAGTAAAATTTTGAGACTGTTCTCAGTAACTGTTATCAGCGGCTCAGTAATATGTAGCTTTTTTGTAAAATATAGCTAACTTGACAATGACTATATGACTTTAGAGTCAAATTGTATTTAACAATATCCATGGATTTGACACAGAAAACCGATCTAAATTAAAAATCTCTAGATTTAATATTTTGGTCAGAAATTGAAGAACTATCTATACTAATATTATAAAGAGGAAAGATGTGTACCTATTTTTGTATGTTTGTAATGAATAGCCTAGAAAGTACTGGGCCGATTTAAAAAATTCTTTCACCAATAGAATGCTACATTGTTCCAATTCGACACAGGCTACATTTCATTTTGAAAAAAAAAATTGTCTACCCCGTGCGAAGCCAGGACGGGCTGCCAGTATTTAATAAAAAGAATGAAATGATATCAAAATCTTTAAATACGTTATTAAAAAACAGAACCGATTTTTAATGACACCATTAATTTGGTAAAATAACAAAATAGTTTTTGTAACAGTACATACATTAACAAAATACAATTGTTACATTACGTTATGTAACATAACAATTAACTTTAATTAACAATAAAACACATAACAATTTGCCCTCTATTAAATTAACAAAAAACACATTGACACGAGAATTAACATTAATTTTAATTATAAAAGCGGAGAAAGTAAATACAAACGATAAATCGTCGTAAATATAAATCTACAAGAATTAATAGCTTTCTTCCGATAATAAATAACGTTATAAATGTCTACATATTAGACGCTAGGTTTTCAGTCAGACTGTTTTTTAATATCATGCCCCTTCCACACGCTCGATGTTTGTAACATAACATATAACATCACGCCTCTTATCCCCGAGTAGAGGTGCACATTATGCCACTGTACAATGTAACACCCACTTTTCACTATTTATGTTATGAGTCCCATGTATACGGGGTGAGTCTATTGCCATATACCGGGCACAATTCCAGACTCCGTGCTACTACTGAGAATTTTTTTTAAAACCCAGTAATACTTTGCCCGTTGCCGTTTAAAATGTATCTTCAAATTTAAATATGTTTATCTAAACTAATTTTGTAAAATATTAATTGACTTAATTTGCCATAAAAAATCTATAAAACTATAATATAAATTAGTGTTTGTGTGTAAATGTATATAAAATTGTAATAATGTAACTATAATATATTTTTGTACCTAATTATAAACTAAAATAATGAAGTGTAGTTGTTTCATTTGCTCTTCACTACATACTAGAAAACGAATATCGCTCGTCGCTATCCGCCGTCTGTCTGTCCCTATGTATGCTTAGATCTTTAAAACTACGCAACGGATTTTGATGCGGTTTTTTTAAATATATAGAGTGATTCTTAAGGAAGGTTTTTATCTTATAATATTTGTATAAAGAGGAAGTGTTTGTTTTCTTGTTTGTTTGTTTGAACACGCTAATCTCCGTAACTACAAGTCTGATTTGAATAAATCTTTTTGTGTTGGATAGCACATTTATCGAGGATGGCTATAAGCTATAAAATATCACATTATGACCAATAGGAGCTGAGCACAGCGTGTGAAACCGCGCGGAAGTAGCTAGTGTATAATACATGCATATTGCACCCGTGCGAAGCCGGGGCGGGTCGTTACTTAAGAATAAAATGGATATGTTTGTCGATTTATCATGAAGCCGCGGGTTTGAAGTGGAACTGGGGTGGTCATGTCTGTCGCATGTCAGACGAGCGGTGGGCAAGCTACTGAGTGGAGGCAGCTCAATGTCAATTAAGTGTGGGAGAGCCATGCTTCGGCACGAATGGGCCGGCTCGACCGGAGTGATACCACGGCCGAGCAGAAAACCGACGTGAAGCAACGCTTGCGTCGTGTTTCGTCGTGTGAGTGAGGTTGCAGGTTGAAGCTGAAGAGTTTGTTTTTTTTTTGAACGCGCTAATCTCCGAAACTACTAGTCCGATTTCAATAATTCTTTCTGTGTCGGATAGTCCATTTATCGAGGAAGGCTATAGGCTATAAAATATCACGCTACTATTAATAGGCGCCGAGCAGAGCGAGTGAAACCGCGCGGAAGTAGCTAGTCTTGAATACATGTCATAAACTAGTGGTTGGTTCGCAGATTAAGTGACATTTTAAAGCTTATATACTACTAGTATCTTCAAGAATTAGCCTTGAAGGGGTATGCAGAGAACGGCAAGCAGGTATTTAATATTTATATTGCATTCTACACACACATACATGCTATGTATACATGCAAATGCATTCTTCGTCGATGTGTGTGTGTTGTAAAGGTGTCTTTATACGCATTTTGTTTGAATGTGTGCGATTTATAGTTTATGTGGTTGTTCAAGTGGTTGAAAGAATAACTCAAACTGTAATCTGAATCACTGAATAATGACTGCACGGTTGGTGCGGTGGCTGGGCAACCGGCTGCCGTGCAACGTGTCGCGGGTTCGATTCCCGCACGGAACAACACTTTGTGTGATCCTCAAATTGTTGTTTCAGGTCTGGATGTCATGTGTATGTGAACTTGTATGTTTGTAAACGCACCCACGACACAGGAGAAAATCCTAGTGTGGGGCAAAGTTTAAAAAAGAAAAAGATATAAATAAGAAAAAAAATCTTGAATTTTCGCGAGATGATCTCCGGTCACTGTATGCACAGTCCTGCGAACGACGAGCATGGGGATCTCGCTGCTCGGCCAGAACCAGACCCGAGCGTACAGCGCGTCGCGTCCGCCTCTCACAGAGCCATCAGATCACTACAGCTGGGGTCTAATAAGGCTGATGCCGATATGGAGACGCGGAGAACGTAACAGGTTGCCGGGACTCCGGCTCGACGTGCAGGAGAAGGAACGGGGTGGTTTTTAGTCAGTAAGAGTCTGACACTACCTCCTGCCTCACCTGAGCGAATGAAGTCATTCAATATTTTCCTCCTTTAAAAACACCTTGATTTTTGAGTTCGACAATTAATTTTTTCGATTATTCTAAGTGTAACTAAAAATCGCAGGTTACTCACGTGAATATACTGAGAAACTCTCACGATAGTTATTATAAAAACATTTTCTATGTTAGTTAGTTGTTTCCAGTTTATAGCAATAGGCTCACATTCTCTCTAACATAAACTGGAGAAAAGCGAGTACTCATACTGCGATCAACTCCGTATCCTAAATACTTTTACATCAGATGCATCATCTGATGGTAAGCAATCAGCTCTGACTATGAAGACCAGAGAAGTTATAATTGTGTTATTGGCCTTTAATAACTATATACCCCGAAGCGGTAGGCAGAGGTGCACATTATGTCACTATATAATGTAACACCCACTTTTCACTATTTATGTTACGAGTCCCATGTAATAGGGGGTGAGCCTATATACCGGGCATATTTCCAGACTCCGTACTAATAGTTATTGAGATTGTTTTTAAAACCTAGTAATTCTTTGCCCGACCCGGGAATCGAACCCGAGACCCTTGCCCCGGCAGTCGCACTTGCGACCACTCGGCCAAAGAGGCAGTCTTTTAGTTATTTTTTTTAATCTTTGGAAATTAATCTTTTTTAGAAATAATATAAACTTATATAAAATAAATACTAACTATTACTTAAGATACACTAAAACTAATGGAGAAATTAAATAAAAGAAAACTAAAAATAACTATTTACAGAGAGCATCAACAAATCATCGCATCGACGCACGTCAATAGGGAGAGTAACCACCGGCTGGCAGCATTGCCACGTTGTATGGCAATGCTTAACCTCTGTGCGAGAAGCACACCAGCCCTCTAGTCTCCAGATGCGTCGACCAGGCGTTTTGAAATATAGATAGATAACCCAAAAATATTTCTAGTCAACATTTCATTTTCTTTCATAATCCTTTATACATTTATATTTCATAATCCCAATTTACCAGTCCACAGCAATCCATCCTTTTTTTTTTCTCCATGTCGCCGAGAACCTAACGGGTAACCGGGGCTCCGGCTCGACGTGCAGGAGGAGGAACGGGGTGGTTTTTAGTCAGTAAGAGTCTGACACTCCCTCCCGCCTCACCCAGGCGGGAGCAGTCATTCGATGATTTTCCCCCCTTAAAAAAAAATCAACATTTCATTTAATAAAGCCCGTGTGTGATTAAATATATTTTCATTCTCATTAGCACATAAACAACAAAAACATTTAACTTTATCGACACACACAAAATAGAAATTAATTTTAAAATCACCATTTAATAAATAGCCTTGCAACGACAAAAAATCGCTTGCAATTCCCCGCC